GGGCGCTTCCTCCAAAAGTTGCCAATAGAAATAACTATGACCAGCAGTCCCTCTATGCAGAGGCGCAGCACCCATGGACGGCTAGTGCACCCCTATGTCCATGGCACCACTGCTCACAGTGGCCACAAATGGCAGCCCCTTCAGTGCCCATCAGTGGAAGAATGGATAGACAAACTGCGAGGAAACTATGTAACTACAAAGACCACTGAGGAGGCTGGGAGACATAGCTGGAGGAATCGGAAGGGCATGATGCGGAGTGAAAGGCGTCCATCACAAAAAGGCAACAGTCCTCCGGCTACCAGGGACCAGGAGAGGGCGGGGCATCACTTCCTAGCGAGTTGACACTTGTGAGTTTGGGGGATGGGAAGAGCAGTCCAATATGGGGAAGTCAGCACCGTGCAACCAAGATAAAAACACTAAGTACTGAGACAAAGAGGCAATTCCAATGAATGCTGTAACAGTCACAATTTTGTAGCAACAGTTAAAAACAACCAAAAAATACCTGTGTGGTTACGTACTTGGTCAGGGATGCGTATACAGGTACATTTATAGGTGTATCTATGAACATGTGTAGACATGCCCGTGTGCTGCATATATAACTACGTACGGGACACCGTTACGGAGGGCTGGGGATCACAGTTTGGGGGGACAAGTGAGTTAATTAGCTGAAGAGTCCACAAAGATGCTGTACATCCTGGTTCGACGACTAGCTCTGGGGTCTCCAAAGCCTGCAAGTGGCCACCATCGAAGAGAGAAGCAGAAGTCTCTCCTCCCACGAGGCAAAAGAGAAGGGTGCCAATCACAGGCTGACGGAAGAAATCACTCCACGGGACTCGCAGCCCACACAAACCACAGCCTCTCGCCTCGGCCCGGAAGCACCCCAGCTGGTGTTCAACTACCGTGTCCGGCCTGCAGGCCAGGGACGCTGCGATACAAGGTCCCGGTCGAGCAGGAGAAGACTACAGAACGTAACTCGAATTTCTTAAAAAAAACCAATCAATCAATCAATCAAAGGCCAGACCAGAGGAACTCTGGAGACCATCACCCTAAGACACCCTTTGAACCTGCGATTGAATTCTGCAGCTCACCTTTCAGCTGTGAGTAATGAGCTACCGTACACAAGCAACGACTTGAGACCAACAGGGTCAACATGCCCCCCACAGCAAAGAGGAGAAAGCCGGGAGGGGCGGGGACGCCCGATCATCGCAAACAGAAGACACGACGTGGAGAGAACGAAGGTGCTGCCACGTTGCCAAAATTGTAGCCGATGTCATGGAGCCACCTGTGTAAAAACCAGTAAAGGGGAACCTGACTTGCTGGGCAGACTTTCACAACCAAACACAAGAAACACTTAAAAACAACGCTTCCTTGACAGGCCCCCAGCCCCGGCACGGATATCAGCGTTCATTGGCCGCTCTGAGCTTCATGTATGCCAATCTCCATTTAAGCTGTTGCTTAGAAGACTCATTCATTCACTCACTCACTCACTCGTTCATTCGAACATGTCCTAGGCGCTCTCCTTTGTGCCAGGCCTGGCCGTGGGGATCTAGCCATAGCAGCGCTTCTGAGCCGAGTCACGTAGTGCGATGAAAGAGAGGCCGTGTCTCAGGGTCTGCGGCGCTGAAGCCAAGAGGACTACGGGCACCTGACCACTCAGGCTCACTTAGCGCTGCATCCATCTCACTGGGCAGCCTCTGACACCACGGCAGGGCTGGCCTAAGCCACACGTCTCTCTCAGAAAGAGATCAGCCCAGGCCTGCAGGCAGTCCCAAAGAAGGGAGCCTGGGTCCCCTGGGAAATGGGGCTGCAGGGGCAGGTCTCCCTAAGGCAGGCCAAGCACAGGTTCCTCCTGCCCCGGGTCTCTGACTGGAACCCAAGAGGCTCCTGGAGAAAGGGGCTTGGAAGACAGAGTCCTTCAGAAGTGAGCAGAGACTTGGCGGGCCCTCCCGGCCACCAGCTCCAAC